TGTCGTCTAACTATCTATGTAACCAAACGGGAAATTGTCCTGTATGTCAAGAGGTTCTAATGGTTCGAAATTTTGAAAGACATTGTAACAATAAACATACACTATTATCATCTAATGAACGTCGCAATACTTTGAAAACTTTAAAAGAAGAATGTTCAAGAAAACGTACAGCAAAACAAGCAAATTCATTTAATTTACGTGATTTTTATTTTGCAAAAAAACCTCGTATTTCACAAACAGATCCAAAAGTATTAAATGACAATAATAGTGAAGTTGTTAATCCAGTTATTGACAACACTTTAGCAAATACTAATGAAATCAGTGCACCTAATGATGGTTCAAAACACTGCACAGCACAACTATGTGTCGATCTATATCTATTTCTAACTGAGCCGATCGGCTCACCTTTTATTCCTACTCCCAGATGAGTTAGAAGGCTTTTAGCTTCTATGAGAAAAATGTGGACGGTACGATCGCTGTCTACCGATAGAATCAAATAATCTTTGCTATCTGGCTTTGCTTAATGTAATATGTTTTCACTCTGCTCTTTTGTCGCCTAGGTGAATTGTACAAATAATTGGTATTAATGTGTTTCCATTCAAGTCAAAGACATAAACAGCACTTTTAATAGTTCATTTGTCACTTTATTACCTTCTTTCAAACTGTTACAACCTCGTAGCACTGCTCTTTTTAAAAATAAATGTAATCACTCTTGCCAAATAATGCTCATCCGTCGAAAATCAGAGAAAAGAACGCAGGAAGATCGTCGTGTTGGTACTACACTGTCTACGCAAGAAATCATTTTTCCTTTTTTTAACGCAACTGAAAATCTATGTAGAAGTATTAAGTAATGTGTAAATACTTTGAAAATACTTTTTGTTTATTTAACATGTTAACACGTCATCACTTTCCTCAAAAAGCGAAATAATATTTTATTACACGAATTTACTATCTATTTTTTTCACATGAGCCGGTTAATGAGAGCCTGGGAATTCGGAGGCCATGGTATGGCATGCACTATCAGTCCATGAAAAAGAAGCAATATAATCCTACTGGAAATTTTTGAGACAGAGCAGGGTTCACTACTGGTGGCAGACGGTTCACTGGGAAAGTTCTCAGTTATTGTGAATGAACTCTACACAGTTCGCAGAAGGAAGTGGAAAAAAGGAGTGGTGACAACATAACAGAAAACAAACAGTCAACTAAACCAAGCGTTCATAAACCGGTAATAAGTTATTGACGTGTGCCACCAGTGCACCATCACCATCATCTAACGTGTAATTGACTGCAGAAATTTTGTCAGTAAGTCGATAGGGACCACGATAGCGTTCATCTAACTTTGATCGGCTGATTAATGTTTTGAGCCAAACGAGATCATCAATGTTGTAAACAGGACTGGATCTATTTCGATCATAACGCTGTTTTGTCAATGTTTGTTGGTATTGAATGTTTGAACGAGCCATCTTGTTAGCAATCGCTTTGAAGCGTTGAAGTTCAGTCCAATAATCGTTAGGACGTGAGAATTTGAATTCTGTTTGCGGACGATCAAATGGATTACGAGGCATACGAGCGAAGGCGAGCTGGTACGGGGTGAAGCTCGTAGAACGATGTTGACCATAATTGTAAGCGTGGACGATGAATGGCAGATAAAGATCCCAATTTGATTTGTCTTCATCACAATATTTGGATAACTGTGCTGCAAATGTAGCGTTGAAACGTTCAGTTTGACCATTAGTTTGGGGATGATATGGAGTCGAAAAGACGTGTTTCGAACCGATAAGCGCCGACATCGCTGCTATCAATTCATTGTTGAAATGCTGTCCTTGATCAGTGATGATTTTACCAGGCGCCCCATGAACGAGAATAACATTTTCCATTAGTATTTGAGCTGTGGTCTGAGCAGTGTTGTTAGAAGAAGCCTTTGCTATGACGTAGCCGGATAATTGGTCGGTTATGACTGGAACGTATTTATATTCGTCTGATGAGACCGGAGCTGGACCTCACCAATCGAGACCGAGTACTTGAAAAACTTCAGAAGGAGGATCAATCGGTTGCAATAGACCAGGAGCCTTTCGACGTTGTATATTAAATTTTGAACACTTAGAACACGATCGAATGTAATTTTCAGTTGAATCTTTCATATTTGGCCAATAATATTTGTTCTTAATGTTTCTCCATGTGCGTTCCACGCCAAAATGTCCAGCTAATGGATGATTGTGATGGGTGAATAGTATATCTTTAATTAGTGTTTGTGGAATATAAGGTACACGTAGTTGTGTTTTCCCTCGAGGTAATAGTTTAAACAGGACAACATCCTTAATTGTAAAGGAAGATTTTGACGGATTTAGTTTGACCATGTTAAATATTTCTATAATATCGGTGTCTTCCATTTGTTCTTTTCTAATACGATCTAGGCTGAAGTCGAACAATTGTGGAGAGGGACTTGTAGTTGTAGCTGGCGCCGATGAAATAGATGCATAAGTTGCCGTGGAGGTTGTCAGAGGCGGAGCTGGTATTAATCGTTTAGCTTGTTGACGCGTAATGACGGCATTTAGTTGTGTGAAGAACGTAGATGGCGGACGTTGTGGTTTAATTTTCCATGTTTCAGTCCCTTGAGGCCAATCATTATCATTGATGGGCTTTTTCGATGTCGAGGAGATCGGATGTTTCGAAAGGTAATCGGGACCGGTGTTCTTATCACGAGGCAAGTGTTTGACTTCCGTAATTTGTGGGATAATATCTTGCAATTTAAATAGCATAACACGTTTATTATTAATTTGTTTTTTATGGAAGTTGATCAATGGTTGACTGTCCGTTTCTATCGAAAAATAAGAGTCGCCAATATATTCTCGTAGTTGCTGTATACTCCAATACATAGCTAATGTCGCGCATCGGATCATAACGTTTTTCGGTGTCGGACAATGTACGCGATTTATAATAACATATTCGAGTGCCATGTTGAGTAGTTTGACGTAATATGCCGCTGATGCCAATAATTGATGCGTCTGTTGATAGGATGAAGGGTGCTGTTGGATCCGGGTATTGCAAAAATAATGGTTCTATAGTCAATAGGCGTTTTAATCGGTCGAATGCATTTTGTTGTTCTTTATGTCAGTAAAATTCATGTTTCGTTTTCTTCGTTTTATTGGTTACTTTATGAATAGGAGCGGCAATCTCTGCAAAATGTGGAATAAACTTGCGGTACCAGTTCAGTTTTCCAATAAATTCATTAGCTTCATTTAAAGTTTTGGGTGGTGATAATTCAATAATAGCTCGAATTTTTTCTGGTGATGGTTTAATTTGATCTTTGTTAATAACATCACTTAAAAATTCAATTTCGCGAACTGTAATGGTACATTTCTCCGGATTAACTTGAAAACTGGCTTGGTTTAATATAGACAGAACTTCATTTAGGTGTCGTTTGTGATCCTCAAAAGTTTTGGAAAAAATCAAAATATCATCAAGATATACAACTACATAATCCCAACGCCCATTTCCAATTAAATTGTGCATGATTCGTTGAAACGTTGGTGGACCATTCATAACACCTTGAGGTAATACATTAAATTCCCATAGACCATCTTGAGTGATAAAAGCCGTTTTCTCCTTGTCTTGTTCATCTATCGGGATTTGAAAGTAGCCAGATTTCAAGTCCAGCTTAGTAAAATATGTATGTTCGCCTAATCGTTGTACTAATTCCTCAGTTGTTGGTTGTGGAAAGGAATCTTTCTTTGTAACGGAATTCAATTTTCGATAATCGCCTAAGAAACGTATTCCACCATTTGGTTTCTTATGTAGTATTACAGGTGATGACCAGGGAGAATTTGATGGACGAATTTGATTATTAGTCATCATGCCTTGTATTACTTTTTGTAATTCTCGGCGTTGATCTACCGTTTTGGGATATGGACGTGAACTAATGGGTAGAGCATCTCCAGTATTAATGGTATGTTGTAGTGAAGTGTGAGCTTGGTTGATTTTGGATGAGTCGAAGATTTTTGCATGTGAGGATAGTATTGTCGGTAAGTTGTTTCTTTCTAGCGGATCACAAATGTGTGCAACCAGTTTTGCAATAGTGTCTGTGTTGATCTGGATGTGGTAGTAGTTCGAATAGAATTTAAAGTTGAACTATCTCGTGGTGATGGCGAAATTGGCGATGGTATCGAAAAACTTTCTACGTCGCCAGGCGTATGAGTTATTTGTCCTATTACTGCGTTTTTGTATAATGTTCGTGTTCGATCACTGTTGTTGTAAATTTTGATGACCGTAGTATAATCTGTAACTTTTACCATTGCAGGAATCATCGAAACTGATTTATATTGTAGAAAGTCTGTGTCTGGATGAAAATATACTAAATTTGCAGAAGAAACATCTGTTTTCGCCTGAATGACATTTGCTTCGCGTGGAGGAATCGTAATCGAGCTAAGTAATTTTAAATCTAATGCAAGAGTATCAATGTGTTTGTCGAAAGGGATACATGATCGACCGTTATACGAACGAATAGAAACTTGATGACGATCGTATTCAATTCTAGCGCCTGTTTCAACGAACCAGTTAGATCCAAGGATAAAATCAGAGTTTAAATGTTTGACTACTAATGCAGTGATGGGAGTGTCGGTTTTAAGTGCACGAATATGCAAATTAACCTCACCTATTATATGTAAAGGCGTAGAACTATCGGCTAAATGCGCGACCGTTTTTGATGGAAGTAACGGTGAATGACGAATTTTACTAAGTGCCGATTGAGTTATAAAAGAGTGTGCGGCACCTGAGTCGATGAGTGCACGTGTTTGTCGATTATTTACGTAAACGTTGATATATACGAGCGACGGATTAGTTCCGCAACATTTTCGTGGTCGTTTCGGACAATGTCTGATGAAATGATCGCTATTGCCGCAATGATAACAGCGTAAGATTTTCGTAGTACGACGATTTCCTTGTCGAAAAGGAGTTGGTGATAATATGGAATTGATTCGTGTAAATGTAGGGTACTGCTGAGGAGAAGTTGATGTTGGCGATAATTTACGAATGTTGTCATCTTTGCGATCAGATGAAGACGAGAGTATTTTAATAAATTGTTGATCGAGTTCGAAACGTTGAATATATGCAAGTAGTTCTTGTGGGGAGGTAAATATACTTCCAGAACATCTATTCAATAATGAGTTGTTCATGCCCAACTTTAATCGATCGAGACGTTCTTTATTGGACATTACTGGATTGTAGTATGTACATAGCTTAGTCATATCTGCATAATATTGGGTAAATTCTTCTGTGTCACCTTGTTTTCTTAACAGAATTTGCTGATGTCTAAGGGATTGTGATGGTTCGGGCGCTGATAGAAAATTATCTCACAATGCATTTTGTAAACCATTCCATGTTTCAAATTTAATCAATTGACGAGTATATCACTTTAAGGCTTCGTCAGAAAGAAATGCCACAGCCCATTTACGACGTTGTGGCTCACATGCATCGAATTTTTGATTAATTGTTAATAGCCAATCATTGACATGTTGCTGTTGACTGCCACTAAATTTTGTTAAATCTTTCAATATTGTCTGCAGTAAGATAGCATCGACGTGCTCCATTTTTAATGCCACAATAAATAAATGCACGCCCGCTAGTGCACCATTTGCTAGCCTCCACAGATTTTATTCGAAAAAATCACACAAAACGTCAAAAAAAAAAACTGCCTCGGTGTGTACAAACATACACTCTTCATAGATGAAGAAAGAATGTTGACTCAAGAAGATCTGAGTCAACATTCTTTGTGGTCATGAGAAATGAAACAGACGAAGAAAGAATGTTGACTCAACCAGAACTGACGAGGGAACTGCCCCAAGTGTCCGCTCGCTTTTTTCTTGAAACCTAGTCGAGAATAGGTTATCGACTATGCTGATTCTGAATATGACAATGGCTTTTGCTGCTAGGCCTTCGAGGACCCGGTTTTCTAGAAAACCAGTTTTTCAGAAATCCCAATCAATAAACCGAACCTTTCTTAATGAGGCATGATCGTAGCCCGCACATTTCTGATTAAAATAAGACATCTCCCAACTCTACACGATCTTTTGTTGCAAAGTTATAGAATTTACACGAAGGGCCCTAAATTAATTTCTTCTTATTTCTGTAGCTTTTAGCTGACAATGAACATTAAGGGCTTTTGTTGTAAATTCTATAACTTTGCAAAGAAAGGCCATGTAGAGCTGGGAGAGGTCTCATTTTAATCAGAAATGCGCGGGCTACAATCATGCTTCATTACGAAAGGTTCGGGTTATTTTTTGGGGTTTCTGAAAAACTGGTTTTCTAGAAAACCAGGTCTTCGAAGGCCTAGCAGCAAAAACCATTGTCATATTCAGATTCAGCATAGTCGATAGTCTATTTTCCACTAGATTTCAACAAAAAAGCGAGCGGACACTTGGGGCAGTTCCCTCGTGAGTCAACATTCTTTGTGATAACGAGAAATGGAAAAGAGGAAGAGGAAGGAATGTCAGTGATGACTGACATAACAAACTGTTAGTAGCACTGTTAGTATTCCCGGCTTCGCTGAAATCTTTACGTGTTCCTGTCAGTGGTTTTGGACGTTGTTTTATATCACTTTTATTAAGTATTATTAAAACAAAGTCGTTCTCACGTCGATCGTTGTTTCGTTTTAGGCCAGGCAGTGTACTAAGCTATTTCTATCGTGGTGTAAGAGTCAGTTAACTTTAAACTTGCATCTGTATTCTCATTACACTCTTTCACGTCCACAAAATTCACAAATTAGTCACCGTCTAGTTAACATCCTTATCAGAATTATAAAAGATCCCAAAAAAAGAATAAAGAGTGGTCGAAATAAAAGAATAATATATACACACTACGTATTATAAAGCACACGTACAATAACCTCTCAAGGACTCATAAGTAGAGGAAATATAAGTCTCTCACAGTGACTTCTAACTAGAACTTCGATCATTGATAGATCTGTTCAGCCGCTTGCATTAAAAACATTGTTTGAGGTTCAAAGAAGTAACAAGTCTGTACTACGTAAATACTAAAACGAAATAGTCTATGGCCTGAAGGTTTACTTGTCTAGGTAATGAAATCCCAACCGCCACAAGGAAGCAATCAATCTTTCGACTTGTAGAAACTACCCAGATGGAGTTTAACTACTTGTTATTAATTTAGACATTGTACGTCACAAACGGACTGTCGAAGAAAAAATAAAATCCGGTAAGTTATTGCAGTACGCGTTACGTATACTCCTAATAACAATCGGTTTGAGAGTTCGAACAAAAGGAAGTGTCAACCGCTTTCTGACAGCAAATGTTCTGAACTTGCAAGAGCACCTGTATCAGGTGGAAAGAGAAACATGATTTATCCAACATTTCAGCATTAATCCATCCGTAGTTTTCTACACATTGCGAGCAAAGCTAGCTGATGCGCAAAGAAAGACTTTGCAGGAAACTGTCCGAACCGACGAAGTGAAAATTATTTGAGAAAGCGCTCGAGGAATTCATGCACGTTTCTAGCTGTTCGTAGCTTCGACCAGTTCAAACGTGAAAATGATGGTGTGCTTCGCGTTTTAATTTCGCAAAGTAGTGATTTTTAGCCACAATATTCTGAACTAGAATATTTTCTCGTTTTAGAACTGTGTAGAGTTCAGTCACAATAACTGGGAACTTCGTCAGAAAGAAATGCCACAGTCCATTTACGACGTTGTGGCTCAGTCAATTCACATGCATCGAATTTTTGATTAATTGTTAATAGCCAATCATTGACATGTTGCTGTTGACTGCCACTAAATTTTGTTAAATCTTTCAATATTGTCTGCAGTAAGATAGCATCGACGATCGTTGTTTCGTTTTAGGCCAGGCAGTGTACTAAGCTATTTCTATCGTGGTGTAAGAGTCAGTTAACTTTAAACTTGCATCTGTATTCTCATTACACTCTTTCACGTCCACAAAATTCACAAATTCTAGTCACCGTCTAGTTAACATCCTTATCAGAATTATAAAAGATCCCAAAAAAAGAATAAAGAGTGGTCGACATAAAAGAATAATATATACACACTACGTATTATAAAGCACACGTACAATAACCTCTCAAGGACTCATAAGTAGAGGAAATATAAGTCTCTCACAGTGACTTCTAACTAGAACTTCGATCACTTCGATAAAATTGCAACTGCTGGCCATGCTGGTCGCTATAAAACTCTTTACCGTTTACTTTCTCGAGTGTATTGGCCCTCGATGCCCTCGATTCACATATTCTAGTCACCAGAAAAGAGGAGATAGCAAGCGAGAGATTAGTGCAATGAATCAACATTCTCCAGTATTGTGTAAAAAAATAAAAGTGATATAAAACAACGTCCAAAACCACTGACAGGAACACGTAAAGATTTCAGCGAAGCGGGAATACACCTGAAGAATCAGATGCAATGAATTCGACTTTTATTGTTAACATAGAAGAAAAGGAATATGAACGAAAATAGCAGCCATACGATTGCCGGGCTCATTCTGATCCAATGTCTCAAAACACGCCAGACGGCTTGTGTTTCTGCATTTGTCTTACTTTTCCATCGTTGGAAAATAGCAGCGGCTGATGTCGGTCGTACTTTGGTGAAAACTGCAGAGATCTACGTGTGTGCTAAATTGGTTAGAACTCTGACTTTTCGGTTTCCGCCCAGATGAAGACGGTTACTCTTGCACCAAACTGTGCTTCACAGAGAAAAATTACAGCTGTTTATAAAGCCTTGTGTCACCCAATTCTGCAATTTTTGTTAATGAAAAATAAACTTAGTTTTGAAATATTGTGCTTCTTTTCAGTTGGCAATGATAATGACTCGACTAATGTCTATTATGAAGACGCATTGTTGTACAGAACTGACTTACATGTAAATGATCGTTTACAAGATTCTTCAAAGTGCAATATTTGCTGACGGTGTTTTTGGTTTAATTTCTCTTCAAAATTTTAACGATCTCTCAGAAGTTCAAAAGTTTTTGGATAATAGTATCAGGCTGGGGTTACTCTTCTGGAACACTTTTTCTAACGTGAATATCGGACGGAATGGTTTTCTCTTACCCAAGAACGAACTATAATTAATCAGTCAGCTAATTAGATAACCAATGAAAACGTAATTAGTACGATCGAATCTACTTCAGAATGTCAGGAGATACTCTATTTTATCCGCTCATTCTGATTCTATACGTAAAACGAATAAAAATTATTCTCTTACTTCCGAAGGTTTCTGGGAAACCTTTTTAGAAACCACAGTACTTTCTAATGACTTTTTCAACATTTGTTGAGCTTTACGGTATGCTGCAGTTAGAATAGAGTATCTCCTGACATTCTGAGGTAGGTTGAATGGATTTTGACTGATTTATGAACTTTTAATTTTTGATGAGAATAATCTAAATTATTAGTATAACTTATTTCACCTAGTATTGGTTTTCACTCGGTTAGCGCATTTTGTTCTAAAAACTAACATTGCCACGAGATTCAGCATAGTCGATAACCTATGCTTTGATTCATTTCTGATAGTCTCAAGCCTAACGGCAGAGGAGTGCTAAGACTTCAGAAAAAATGGCCACAGCTCCCGAACCATGGATTTCTAAGCTATCACTTAGATCCACTTAGGTTTTGTAGAGGACACTTTGGACTATTTATCTATGAAAAAAGTTTAATTTTAACTCCAATATTAATTTTGACAGTCGCAAAGTCCTTAGAAGATTTCTAGAAAACCCTTAGAAAACCTTAAGTTATTGAGATATAATTTTGGTAACCTCATACATTTGAACTACATAGTTTAGAAAGTTCAAAACAGGAAACAAACAAATTTTAGCTTTCCAGCTCTGCTACAAGAGAAGATCTCCAGAAAACCTTGGTATGTCAGCAGAAAACCTCTCAAAATCTCTAAAAACAAAATTTCTATTTTAGCACAATAAGTTTTTAGATAGAGTACAACGTGCTCCATTCGATGAGTACATTGAACAAAAATTTCAATTATCGTAGAATTTTTTATAAGAATAATCCCAAGACCTGTAAGCTGAAAATCCAGGTTTTCCAGAACCCCATTATGAAAGTCAAATATAAAAACACAGAGGAGCAAAATCAAAACAAAATATTTGAAAATTTCTTCAATAGAGCGGATTTTATACGCAAAACAGCGTAGGACAGTAACGGTACAATGCCGTTGCAATTCACTCGAGTGTCAGGGAAAAATGGGAAACTAATTTAGTTTCCCACTTTAAGTGGCGGAAGACATTAAAAAGTTTGGAATTAAAAACTACTACTACGAATTCGTTGATATTTGTCATCAAAAAATAAAAATTATTGTTAGTCTTGTAGACCAAGCACAGTTTGATATAACAAAAATATTACTTGAACACACATTCAACAGCTTGCCCCGATTTTCCCGGATAGCATCATATATATGTTTTAAATAAAAATGTGATTGAATTTGCTCGATATTCAACCAGAGAACAAATATGTTGTTAGATTTAAAACTTTAGATAACTTGCATTGGTACAAGAACAAGTTCTTTTTATGTTGTTAGTAGGATAGTCTAAAATGCCTCCTTTCGTTATTTCTTTTTATTCTGCAAGATTTT